TTGCATTCATAGTTTTGTATGAAGATAACAAAACTGAGGTCTTAAGTTATTTTGGATTAAACCACAAGAGTGGTGTCTGATTAGTTTGAGCTTGGCTGCAAAGGTCAAAAAGACCTTGAGGTCCCAGGTTCAAATCCAAGAAGGAACAAAAAAAATCCCCTTCTGGCCACGGAGGTTCAAATGCTGTAACTCCGGGCTACCTGCAAAACAGGTGGTTGATCTGGGATTGGTCGACTCGCATAGCGGATTGGATATCCAAGTTAATAAAAAAAAATTGGACTTGCGTGTACCTACGACACAAGAAACATAGGTTTACACTCTTTATATATATGATCATGGCAAATATGATTCAAATCATGGTGAATGTGTATATAATGTGTATGTGTATCATGTATACAAGTCGTTAGATGTGTAGGCGAAAGATCATGTGAGAAAAAAAGTTAAGGTGAGAAGCATGATAAGAGATCTGGACCCTTGATCACCTTTAATCTCAAACTCACCCATGAATTGATTGATCTGGTACATCTCATCCTAATGTACATCTAATGGTGAAGTTATCTTCTTATGTTTTTCACTTTAACTTTTTTTCTCACCGGAACTCAACCCTAGATGTTTGTGCATAGATATTACGTACACACAACTATAAACATATATAATTATACGTATTTTTTTGATTTTATTTGTAAAAAATAATTTATATAATTAAAACAGAAATCGAAACATGGAGAGCGTCCATTTGCTAGAGAAGTATTTCACGGACCACGTCCATGGCTACAGTACGTCACCGTTTTGGATATTAATGTGTTTTCCTTTGTTTGACCAAGACAAAGAGATTGACATAAAATCAATTCAAGAATAACTAAATGGATTTAATTTTATTAAATTAAAATATATTTTAAAACAAATTATTGATTTGGTTATATATTCGTCATAAGACCAGACATGTCTGTAGACAGAACGACTCATTAAACCCGTCTCGTGCTATAAAAAATGGTTTTAGAAAATCATTCTTAAAAAATGAACAGACTTAACAAATCTCGTTAAAAATAACGGAAAAATATGAACGATGTAAAAATAATTTTGAGCAGATCTAACTGATAGGTTTATATTTCTTCACAAAATATAATTAATTAAGTTCTTTAATTAATATTTTTATATAAATTCTACTAAGGGGTCGTTTACTAAACACTTACTTGGTAAGTGTTTAACGTATAAATTTCCTCATCGGATGAACATGAGAATAGCCAAGAATCTTACCGGGTAAGAGCGATGAGAAGGATGAAGAGTCTTACCCGGTAAGTGAAAATGACGACTCTTACCCAATTAAGTGCTTACCTAGTAAATTGTTGCATTCAATATGCTTTGATTTACTAAAATCTTACGCATCTAAATAAATTATAGTATAAACTCTTATTGGTAAACGTTTACCGAGTAAGCATTTGGGTAAATGACCCATAAGTGTTCTGCATACTTGAGTAATTTTTTTCATATATCTTGGATCCTTATTAGGAGTGCAAACGAACTGTACGTTCAACGAATCGTTCGTCGAAAAGTTCATTTACATTCATTATTTTTAATTAACAAATGAACATGAACATGAACATATCTTTTTATTACTTTAGTTAAATGAATGAACATGAACAGTGACCTTGTTCGTTCATTTACGTTCGTAGACATTCATTAATTTATGTTCGTTAATGTTTGTTTATTTGTTTATATTTATTTATGTTTGTTCATTTACATTCATTAATATATATATATATATATATATATATATAAAATATTTATATATTATATACTATATTATAAACCATTTGACAAGAACTCTTAAAAATCATTTTTTATGCATGAAGTATTGTTTATTAATGTATATTACTTAAAATTCAAGATTATAAGTAAACTGTATATAAGTACAACTTATTAAATCTCCACTTTTTAATTTGTGTAACTAACTGTATATAAACATAATCAAATACAAGATGAATATCTCATTTTAAATATAAAAACTCTAAAATGTAATTAGGATAAAATTTGACTTCTAACAAAATACTTATATCTTTATAAAAATTTATATTATTAAATCAAAAATAAATTACTTCATTATTAAACATAAATTAAATTACAATAAAAAACTGAATTAAAAAAATTATACGAAAAACAAGAATTTTTAAATAGTAATTTAATACTAATATCGATATATTTTTTCAAAGTTTTATGATATCTTCAAATTTATATTTTTATTAAAAAATAAAAACATTATCGTTTTTTCAAAACCATATGAAACCGCATTATATCAACATGGATATAGATCGTATGTTTCTACGTTGCTTCCATGTCATGGGAGGTTCATCCATGGCTTACAAACTAAACTAACCGACCAATTCTTACTTAAATTGGTAAGGTCTACAAAAGGTACAAGTCTGATCCTGACGTTTGTAGGCTCGATATATATGTAAAAGGGTTATCTACAAAGATCTTCAATAAATGGTTTTCTGCTATCAATAATAAAACTTAATACAAGAAATAATAATAACGTTTCACATGAAACCATTATAAATCAATATCGTTTGACGTATCGTTTTTAATACGTAGCGTGTCAATTCGTTCGACCATCAAAGTGCATTCTATAATACATATGCCGTTTTATATAAAGTAATATAGATTGTTATCTTTTATGTCATAATGTTGACGTTTCAAAATAACATATTATATAATCAATATATATAGTTTTAGGTGTTTGTTATCCGCTATAAATGAGTGGGCTTCCTATGTATGTATTTATTGGTTGGAGGCAATCTTGATCGTGAACGTATTCCATGTGAGCTAAAGGTGACCGATAATGGCACATCAACTTTTAAAAATAATCAACAAACTAATCAAATTTATGAGATGATATATTGAATATTTGGCTTAAGAATGTTGCTTTTTTATCAAAAACTTTTCAATCTTGTTAATAAATCTGTTACATCTAAAACTTTTAATTACACTGTAGAATGATATATATATATATATATATATATATATATATATATATATAGGTGGAGGTTCAAACGAGAACCCCTGTGATTTACGAGAATGCGAGAACAACCCAATAACCTCAAATTTTTTTAGTTAATAAATTAACTTATATTATATAAAAATAATTTAATAAGGGCAGTAATATAATTAAGTAATTTTTATAATTTTTATTTTATTTCAATTTCATAATTATCCCTTTTGTCGACCTCGTCTCCACGTTTTCCTCTGGTTAGTTTTCTTATCTAACCTTCTTCTCCAGATCGTTCATCCTTCTTCTCCTGATCGTTCATGATAGTCGACTTTCTTAATACCTTTTCTTCATATCGTTAGTATCCATATTTTTGTCGATCTAGAATGGACGACTTGAAACCCATATCACATGATTATCACAC